ACCTGTTTTGTTTCAAATTGATATTAATCAAAAAAAGAACCTTTTCAAATGTGTGCCGATATTTTAAGTTCCAGTCAATTTTCAGATGAATTGAAAAAATTGTTTTTAGTCGGTACAATATTTTATTTTAAAAATATCGTTTTTATTTCGACGGAAAACTATTGGATAGTGGAATTTGCTCTGTCACAAGAGCGGTCTGTGGATATTCATAATATTTTTGTGTCACCAATTTCTTTTGATTCTAAATTGTTAAAATTAGACTTGACTTCTTATAACTGTAATGCACTAGTTCCTGAAAAGTTAGAACAATATTACAATGCTCTACTATATGATTCATCATTGACATTGACAAATAAAATGACATGTTATACAGGTCTCGGGCGTAGAGTTTATAGAAGAAATATGAATGATCTTGCATTAAGTGTAGTGTTCAAAGATCTTGATATTTCCAAAGAATTCATTGGAACAACCAAACATGTTCGAATTTTGAGTTCAGCAAAACATTATCAATCACGTTTTCCAGTACCTGCAAGCTTTTTAACGTATCCAGAAGAAATAGTTACTTATGCGTATCAGTATTTGGTTGATCTTAATAAAGAAAAAGAGGAACATAATATGGCTATTATGTACTACGAATTATTGATCAATACTCGACTTTTACTTACTTCACCTGATGTAAGTCCTTTATTTGATTGTATATTTGGTTTTGTATTTTCTACTTTGTTGTCTCGTTGTACACAAAGTCCAAAAGAGATAGCTGAAATCTTTATTTCTGGTAAAAAAAAAGTTGATAATTATTCTCGATTGCAAATAAATACAATCATTAATACATTCTTTAAAGAACCTGGACGTATAATTTCATCCATTAGTTCATGAACACAAAATTCTTCAAATTTAACTTGTATTTTATAAACCATAAACATTAATTTATATTATGTTAAATCATTTATCAAATAATTTAGTTAGGAACTGAACGATTTAAATTTGTTTGGTGTGTGAGTGTGGATGTGACTCTTCTTTTTATCGATATTCACACCATGCACATCCACACTTAGGCAACTCAGAGCTATAAAATATGATTTTTCTCTATATGGATAAGCTCAATTTAAAAACTGAATTTGTAAAAAAAAAGCATTCAAATTCTTGAAGAAAAATGGATTAACATAAAATTGGCCTATTTTTTCGATTTCTTTCTAATTATTGAGTCAAATCATTTTTCACATGAGAAAAAAAACACGAATAGCTGAGAGACTGATTTTTACATACAACAGATATCTTTCAATGAAACTTAAAGATTTCAAATAGTAATTTCATTTCTATTACCAACATGTTTTATCTATATTCTTTACCTTTATTATTCATTATATGTTAGTGTATTATTAGAATTATTCCTAAGTTTTTAGAAAAACAAAGCTCTATATTTCATTTCTTAACATTCGGACATCGGATTAATAAAAGTTGTCTAATTTTTTTCGAACATCAATGAGTCTCTAAACATTGAACTATGAACGGAATCGTCGTGCAGAGAGCAC